ATATATATATATATACTATTATAATATAATATATATATAGATATATATATATATAATATATTACATATGTTTTTCGAGTTTTATAGTTTGTTCCCGCGGCTTACTATATGAAAAAATGCCAGTAGAATTGGAATATACTATTTTGTTTCGCTTATATTGGTATATATATATTTCATCTTTTAACAAGCTATATTTTAATGAAATCATATAGTGTTTTGAATATATAGCAAAAAGCATTATGAAAATGATTATTTCTAGGTTATAACTCATAACGAACATTTATTATCTTTTATCATAGTCTATAGCAATCATTTCCATAAGGTTTTAAAATGTCCTGTTTAAGTCAAAATATCAAAGAACAAGGCAGTGTGACATATTTGCAAAATGTATTTGATATCATTGGAATCCTTTCGTTTAGCAGTTATTATCATGCTACAATCATTCCCCAAAGTTTTATTATTTTTTGGAATTTATTTGATATTTAAACAGCTTTTTTAAATAGAAAACAGTTTTTAGTTTTCTGTATAATCCGTTTCGGGTCGACCGAGACCGAGTCAATCACTGGCCAGAGAGGTCTGTCGCTTCGACCGTCCGGTCGACCGAATTAAAATTTCGGTCGCTACCGGATGAATTTTCCGCATCGACCGACGACAGCTTCCAACGGCCTAGTTTTTTTACCGTTGCCTTGGGCGCTGTTGCTCTTTTTGCTTGCGGTTTTGCTGGAGTGTGAGAGGGTATTAAATACCCTTATTGCCTTCACTCTCAAGCTAACCAAAGAGAGTTTTGCAAAACAACGAGAATGCGTTTAAAAGATTTTTAACAAGGGTTTAAACTTGTTTAGTGCTTTGCTGTTAAGTTTGTTTAAGAAGCTTTTAAGCAATTGAGTGTTGTCGCGTTTTTGATTCAATTCAACAAGAGCTGAGGAGATCATCTATTTGGTGTTTGGCATTCCAAAACTCTTCTCCCTCTACTCTTGATATATGAGAAGTTTTCTAACCAAACCTTTTTTTGATATTTCTAGCTTTTTTATATATCTTGATTATCATTGTTATTTAGCTTAGACACTACATTGAGTTTAAGTTTTTGATTGAATACTCTTTGTTCACACACAACTATTGTAGTACTATAATTTATTACATTCACCGTCTCGTTCATTACTAATTTAGGGTGTGGCCTGTTTTGACATTGAGGTGAGCTTAATTGAGTTCTCACCTGTTTTGAGAACAATCAATTGCAATTTATATTGTGCCTTAATTCGTGAGGATTCACTTGTAATACACTTAGTACACTGAGAGAAGTGTGTCGGTAGAGACGGGGTCGAATCCAACGAGGAGTGGCATTGGTGACGTGCCTAGGAGAGCGTTGTAAGCGAGCACTTGAGGAGGAGGCACACGGGAGACCAACACTTAGTGTGATGAGGTGTGACATTACATAGTGTATATGTATTGTGCACGGTGTAAACGCTTGTTCGGCCGGTGAACGTAGAAACCGGTTTCCGTCGATATGTGGAGATCTCCTCGACTGCTGTGAGGACGAGGTACGTAGGTCTCGGGGAACTACCCGATACCCTCCAGTAAACATAATCGTTTTGTTTCGATGATTGCTTTTTGACGTTACTTCTTTACATCATCTTTCGTCGCTTATTATTCATTATTGCCCTTTGCTCAATTGCTCATTGCTTGTTTTTCCCTCTGATCTAGTTTATGATTAATTCACCCTCGCTGTTAATTTCTATATCCTGACCATATTATCTGTCCGTATACCCTTTCTTAGGACTATATCTTATTGTTCCATATATCCTACACATATTCTCATCACCTATAGTTCGAATATTATCTCTTTGTTGTTCATTTTGCTTATCCTAGTCTATATATAGTCTTATATTTCATACTTGCTAGGATAAACTTCGGTATAAGTTTATTGGCATTTAAATCGGATTAGATTAAGCATAAGACCCTAATCACCCCCCCCCTCTAGGGTCCAACACTTTATCTGTCTAGGTTGAAGACGACATTGGATGAGGCAAACTGGTTAAATGATGAATATGACATCTCTCGTATGACGATGACCATAGGGGCACCGGACAGCCTGACTCTGGTGCATATGCACGGTGGAGATCGAGTGCCTCTTTATCTGGCGCATCTGCAGTGTGGCATGCGTCTGCCACTGCATCCCTTCGTTAGGGAGGTTTTTGCGGCTCTTGGGGTTTCCCTCTGCCAATTCCACCCGCACGCCATCTGCACTTTGATAGCGTATATAGACGTCTGCTCCGAGGCAAATGTGGTGCCCATCATTAGCTTGTTGGGGCACGCGGTCAGAGTGGGGTCCGCTGAGGGGGACCCCTACTATTTCTTCTACTATCGAGGCGATTTCTACTTGGATGCCGACCTCCTAAAGCTGGACGAAGAATGGAAGAGGTTCTTCGTCTGGGTGTTCAGCACCGATAATATATTATCCTGCTCGGGTTGGCCTGATGTACAAGAGAATGTACTAGAGCCAAGGGCTCTTAGTGACTCTGAGGCCAAAGATCTCGAGAAGCTTCGGGGTCTTCTCAGTCTTCAAGAGTCCAGAGCTTTGGACGGAGAAGAATTCTCAGAGATGGGAGGGTCCTCTTCGTCCTCCTCCGGCTCCGAAGCGACAATCCTTCCTCCACCAATGGAGGTCTGTAGAAGAGGTGCCGACTCAGAGGAGCCGAGTTCTTCTAGAAGGCCTCTGAAGAAGATGAAGAGGGATTCTGAGGGTGATGACCCTGAGCCTTAGGAAAGAGCTTTTAGGAATAGATGTCGTTCTCCCCCCCCCCCCATTTTCTCTTTCTTTTATTTTTCTTTTATTTTTCTTTTTTTGCAAGCCTTGCGGGTCCCTGTTTTGTAAAAAAGATATGTACAAGACTCCTTTTTGAATGAGAGTGATTTCTCCTGTCTTTTGCTTTAAGTAGTTGAAATGATTTGAACATGTTGAAACTTTGCCTTTTTTTAGAAATAATGCCGGTCCCTTGGGGCCTTGTCTTGGGTTCATCTAGGTAGGGAACCATAGGTGTAGCGCTGACTTGAGGAGTCTTTATACTTTGGGCAACTTTTGATGTGGAATCAACGGTTCTAGAACTGACTAAGAAGTCGTTACGCCTTAGGTCTATCTTTTAGGGAGAGCCAAGGACTTTGTGCCGACTGAGAAGTCGTTTTGCCTTGGTTTTACCCATATTAGGGACCAAGGGTTTTGTTCCGACTGAGAAGTCGTTTTGCCTTGGACTTATTCTTTAGAAAGAGCCAATGGCTTTTTCCCGACTAAGAAGTCGTTTTACCTTGGTTTTACCCAGAGTAGGGACCGAGGGCTTTGTTCCGACTGGGGATTTGTTTTGCCTTGGACTTACTATTTAGGAAGAGCCAAGGGCTTTTTCCCGACTGAGAAGTCATTTTGCCTTAGTTTTACCCAGATTAGGGACCGAGGGCTTTGTTCCGACTGAGGAGTCATTTTGCCTTGGACTTATTCTTTAGGAAGAGCCAATGGTTTTTTCCGACTAAGAAGTCGTTTTACCTTGGTTTTACCCAGAATAGGTACCAAGGGCTTTGATTCGACTAAGAAGTCGTCGTGCCTAGGTGACTAGGTCTTGATGCCGACTGAGAAGTCGTTTTACCTTGGACATATTCTTTAAGAAGAGCCAAGGGCTTTGTTCCGACTGAGGAGTCGTTTTGCCTTGATTTTACCCAAATTAGGTACCAAGGGCTTTGATTCGACTAAGAAGTTATCGTGCCTAGGTACTAGGTCTTGATGCCGACCGAGGAGTCGTTTTTCCTTGGTTTTACCCAGATTAGGTACCAAGCACTACAAGAAATTACGTCTTTAATGAAGGGATTTCCCTTCGTTAAAGAGCTGAAAACATTCGTTATTGTATGCTAACGACGGGGAAAAATCCCTTCGTCACCCGTCGTTGAAGCCCTCTTCGCTAAAGGGTCACGAAGGGGTATACTACCCGTAGTTATAGAGTCTATAACGACGGAACATATTACCGTCATTAATATTTATGACGGTAATTATCACCGTCGTTACCATCAGTAACGGGGATATTTTCCCGTCGTTACCATCAGTGACGGGATATTTTCCCGTCGTTACCATTAGTTACGGGGATATTTTCCCGTCATTACCATTAGTTACGGGGATATTTTCCCATCGTTGAAGACTAATTAATGACGGTTGGATACCGTCGTAAAAGTCCTCATAATGGGTAATTAGTAACTCATCAACGACGGTGCTTTCCCTTCGTTGATGAACAAAATACGGTTTATAAAACCGTCATTGTAGACTACAAATTTGTAATATACATTAATAATAATTTTTTCATTCATAGGTAACTATCATATTATTCTCAACCAAACACTAAGATTCACAACAAAGACATATTAAAAATACCCAATAATGAATAAGAGGTAAAATAAAAATTCCATTCATTAATAACATCAATAAATAAAATTCCACCATCCTCAAATATTCAATACTAATAATAAGAGTTAATATCCTAATTGTTCCAAAGAAAAATACATGAAACTTTCTAAAACAAATTAAAATAAAAGTTTGGGGAAGACACATCTCTGACACCTCTAATCATCATCAAAAGAAGACTCGAGCTACCCCCTCCTAATCTTGCATGTATAGCCTAAAAAATTAAAAAAAATCACATAATTAAGAAATATCAATTAAGCAAATATTATCTTATTAAGTAAAAAATTACATTTTTTAGTGCAAGTAGTCAATCATAAAAGTATATAAGAGATTTTACAAAAAATAATTACCTAGTCCTGCACATGTTCTCGAGTTTGAGGAGTCAATGAAGGTGATTGCCTAAAAAAAAGTTCTTGCATAGCTTTCACTTGTGACTCCAACTCAGACATCCTTTGTTGTTGTTGCGTGCTTCTAGATCAGATCGACTAGGGAGCGGTCCTCTCAAATCTTTCAAAGTAGTCCCGCCACCAAATACAGTAATGTGACCATGAGATTGCTTCCCCCATATTTTCTCAACTATCTCAATGTCAGAAAGTGAAGGGTTTGCTTGTTTGACTTGAACAATTTCATCCTATAAAAATTAAATTCATATGTTAGTACTATATAATGCATCATTATCAAACTTAAACACATATTCTACTTACATATTTATCTTGATCCCCATTTTCTAGTGTTTCATTAGCTTTCTTTCGAGTTTCATGAAACATTTTTGCCACATCAGGTGGATTTCCTGACTTGCCACCCTTATTCAAATGTTAAATAAAAATGAGTACAACATCAAACTAAAAAACAAAGTAGTTATAAATAAATAAGAAATTAGTTTTGAATGTATACCAATTCCCACACAATTTGTCTAAAGGATTTGCTGCCCGTGTGGTGGAGCATCTTTCTTTTGCCTCTGTTAAGTGTATTTTGTTGGCTTGCTTTCTATACATCAAGATTAAAAGATAATTTCAACAATCCAACAATATACATGGAACAAAATTAATAAAATTAGGAGATTAATACCTGAAATTTTGAAGAAAAATAATGTTCCTTAACTAGCCAATCCCAGTCATCAACACTCACTTCTATAGGTTTATTTTTAAGTGCAACTTGCAATGAATTTTCTTTCACATATTTCCTGTGCATGTCACCACGCCACTTATTCCACAAATCGCGCAAGTATCTCATTACTGACTCTCTCTTTTGCTCCATGTCATCAGCATCAAATTTATCCTATATCAAATTTGAATCAAAATTTAATTTATAAGAATTAAAAACCAAATGCAAAAAATTAATTTTCAATGTACCTTAATGGATGCCCACATATGATCTTTATTTTGTTGTGGTATTTTGGCCCAATTCTCAACAGCTACTGGGCAAATATTTCTATCTCGAATAATAATTCCAAGATATCGTGAAAATTCTGGTTCAATAGCTCTATTCTGATAAAAAGTAATGATCTTTTTCTCCCCATGTGACAAATTATTCAACTTTAGACACTTATTACTACCACGAGGTGGATTTTTCTTCCTTTGAGAATTATCAGCTGCATACATCATATCATATGTTAGAAACAAGATATAGGTAAAAAGAAATTGATAAAAATATTACTTCTTGTAATTAATAAAGAATATACCTTCTTGTCGAGATTCATTTAGTATTACATCATCACTTTGCACTCGATGATTATTTGATTCTGCAAAAAATTAGGAAATTATTAATCCAATCATAAAAAATAAATTGAAAGATAAAAAAGAAATAACAATAAATTTTAAGTCTCATCAACCTGCAGAATCATCATTCTCTTCATTGTTAGTATTTGCACTTCTCCTGCGATTTTGTGCAAAATTCTCCTCTTCAAAGTTTTCTGAATCAACGCTAAAATTTGCATCCATATTTTGATATTGTGTTGGATTTTGAATATTCAAGTTCATGTCATGACAAGTACGGAGTTGTTCCCTTCTTAATGAATTTTCTGCAATTGCTTGAAGTCGCTTCCTAATTAATGACCTGGGTGCTAGAAATTGTGCCCTTTTGCTTTTGGAAGTGACTTATTGAGTTTTCACTTTTCTGCTATGAATAGGAATTTAAGTATCATACACTATGTATAAAACAAATGTCAAAAGAGAAATGAATAAAAGAAAAAGAAACCCCAAGAACAAGCATAATAATAAATACATAATACATGCTTTCACCTTGGACTACTTTTAACCAGAGCTTACTTCTGTGATTCGGTTGTTTATTTATTTACTTGCTTATTTAGTTATTGATTTATGTTCAAATCCCGAAACTAGCTTTTATCATACAGAATATATAGCTATTGGTTGCCACATTGATCTCATTCTATCAATTGCTCCGAAGTCAACAACTAACACAAGGTAATTTTAACAACTAACACAAGGTAATTTTTAACAAAACTATAGGGTACTTTTAAATAAAAGGTATTTTAAGGCAAAAGTGCAAAGTAGGATAAACTATAGGGGACTTGAGTGTAAATTTACCAAACTACAAGTTCCAGTCGCTGGCTTTTCACGGTGGTGACGACGAGGCAAGCGCGGATGTAGAAGCGGTGCTGGGCCGACGCCGACGACGGGGCGACGAGCTTGGGCGGGCGGCGACGACGTTGCTGGGGCGGCGGGGCGGCGAGGCGACGATCTCCAACGCGGCGACGATCTCCAACGCGGGCGGCGACGATCTCCAACGCGGGTCGGCAGTGGCGGAGAGGGTCAGCAGCGGGGGCACTGGGGCGGGCTGAGGCAGAGGCGGCGCTGGGGTGGGCGGCGTTGGCACAGGGCGGCGGTGAAGTTTGAAGACGAAGATTCAATTCGTGTTGGCACATGGCGGCGGCGCCCGTGTTGGAGATGAAGATTTAATGAAAATTGATGACTGGGATTTAATAAAACCTACAGTGCAACTTGAAAAAGATTCAAGTTTGAAGACGAAGATTTAATAAAACGTGATATTAGTAGTTATGAAAATTAATCTAGGGTTTAGTTAAATACATAAAAATAGAGTTGCGGTTAGAATATGATTTGGGTTTCGGGTTATTTATATTAATTTTAATTACTATTCCTATTATCATTAGGGATTTAAGATTAATGAAGGTAATGAACCCCTTCGTCTTTAATAAGACCCAATAATGACGGTATTAGGAACAAATTAATGAAGGGACTAGAAAACCGTTACCCATCTCACATCATTCCTATAATATTTGTAATCACTTGACGAAGGCTTTAAAAACCCGTCGTTATTATATGCACATTAACGACGGTCAACTAACCCCTTTACTAATTTTGGTCGTTAAATACTGTATTTCTTGTAGTGAAGTCTGTCTATGGATAAGATGTGATAAAACCTAGTTGTGTTCCTAGAACATTATTTAGACATTGCCAAAATCTGTAACGAAACCTCAAGTCTCTATCCAATATAATAATCACTGGTATCCCATGTAATCTCACAACATCCTTAACATATAATTCAGCAAGCTTCTCAAGAGAATGCGTAATTTTGTGAGGCAAGAAATGAGCTAATCTAGTAAGATGATCAATAATCACCCATGTAGTATCATTACCACTCTGACTCCTAGGAAAACCAGTCACAAAATCTATTATTACATCCTCCCACTTCCATATAGGAATTGGAAGAGGTTGAAGTAGTTCACCGTGCTTCTAAAGCTCAATCTTCACCTATTGGAATACTAAGCATTTGGACAAATATTCTACAATCTCCTGCTCCATATTATCCCACCAATCCCACAAATCTATATACATCTTTGTAGATCCAGCATGAACTGTATATGCCGAACAATGCGCCTCCTCTAAGACTTCTTTCTTCAACTCTAAATCATTAGGTACACATAAGTGGTTTCTGAATATCAAAGCTCCATCAAGAAGAATAAAATCATGTCAAAGTCATTGTTCTTTATTTGACTTAATTTTTACAAGTATTGGATCATCACTTTGTTCAACCACAAGCCTGTCAACCAAAATATACTGAATTTTAAGATGAGTAACCTTCACTCTGGATACTCAAATCCGAATGTCAATATCAAGACTCCTCAAGCCCTCCAACATATGCTTCTAATTGGTGATCAAAGTGGCAATACTAGCATTGACTTCCTACTCAAGGCATCAACCACTACATTTGCCTTCTCGGGATAATAATAAATAATATGATCATAATCTTTCATTACCCCCATGTGACAAATTATTCAACTTTAAACACTTATTATTACCACGAGGTGGATTTTTCTTCTTATGAGAATTATCAGCTGCATACATCATATCATATGTTAGAAACAACATATAGGTAAAAAGAAATTGATAAAAATATTACTTCTTATAATTAACAAAGAATATACCTTCTTGTCGAGATTCATTTAGTATTACATCATCACTTTGCACTCGATGATTATTTGATTATGCAAAAAATTGAGCAATTATTAATCCAATCATAAAAAATAAATTGAAAGATAAAAAAGAAATAATAATAAATTTTAAGTCTCATCAACCTGCAGAATCATCATTCTCTTCATTGTTAGTATTTGCACTTCTCCTGCGATTAGTTTATTTAAGCTGTAACTATTTTTGAAGAAATATATGAAACTTCCTCTTTCAGATGGGAAATAAAGGAATTTTGTCCACTTTCTGAATGGATTCTCGAGTCACGAGGTTATGATTTCTCCTTCCAATAAGGCATTATGGAGATACTGTGTTTACAATCTATTACCCAGACCTTACCTCTTTCAATATAGGAACTTCACCATCTTTGTTGTAAAACACTTCAACCCAAAATGGTATCAGAGCTACTAATAATATTCCTTTATCTATTGCATGGGGAAGGAATTCATGTGGCAAACTGAAGGCCTACCTTTCAGTAGTTATTTCGTTAATAAAGAAATAACAACATTAAGAGTATTTCCTATTAGTGCATCTACCAGCAACTCAAAGTTGCACCTCCCAGGTGTTCATTTTGGAGAGGAGTGTTGGGAGGTATTTATCTTATACGACTAATGCAGACTCTCTTATTACTCACAATAAACAGGAAACTAGATGATAAACTCCAGCACTACCACAGTGCTGGACTGTACTGCTGAGGAAGGAGAGACATTCAAAGCGAAGAACTTGGAGCTTTTTTACATGTAGCTCCGGAGCTAATGAAAAGACTTCACAACTAATTAGAGGGTGGGGTTTACTTGGAAGATTTTGCTTCTAGAGTGATTGACATTACTTTAGCTGTAATTATTCCTTTATACATTCTGTTGATGTTGAGAAGGTGGTACTATCACATAAAATGTGAGAAATTTTTTTGACAAGTAACAAGGGCAGTTCATAAATTTTATTTTACAACCCCCAACTTGTTGAAAGATGTACAGAAATTTATAAAACTTCGACCTTGCTAAAATATGGGATAGAATGCACGGGACTGATGACTTAATATACCAGAAGTGTTGAAGTAGGTCAGTGTTTACTATGCCTTTTGTTTGATGCAAACGTGCACTAATTGCCGGCTCTGAGCCAGAGCATGTTTTAACATTGAGGTATAGCTGGAGTCATTTAATCCATTTGATTGACGAATTTAGGGACTTGTATAACAAAGTGCGTCACCCTCTGTGTTACATGTTATCTCCATAGAAAATAACTGAATAGTGTTATCAAGCAACTAGGTTCAAAATTTGAGCATGCTTGGATTGACAAAGAGGTATGCTAATTAGAAAAGGTGCCAAAGCGCATTTTGGCTTCTGAGCATGAAGCTACTTACAGTCTGAGCAACTCAAAAGCGGAATGAAGCAATCAAATAACTTTGGGAACTAACAAATTATGTCTAATAACCATCTAAATCAAACACCATTATATATATATATATATATATATAATATATATATATATAAAATTAGTACACTCAAATGAAGCAATAGAGAGCTCCTTTTCTATAGCACAAAAATTACAATAAGTAAAACTGCATGCTCAAGTTCCAAACCTACTGGTCACGTTATATGTTCAAACTTCGAAGTGAGCTTTGATGGAGAAAATTCAGGCTTATATATATATATATATATATATAATATATATATATATAAAATTAGTACACTCAAATGAAGCAATAGAGAGCTCCTTTTCTATAGCACAAAAATTACAATAAGTAAAACTGCATGCTCAAGTTCCAAACCTACTGGTCACGTTATATGTTCAAACTTCGAAGTGAGCTTTGATGGAGAAAATTCAGGCTACCTCAAGGCTATAAACGCCTCAAACATTGCTGAAGTAAAATCAAGCTGCATCAAAGCCATTAAATTCCTCAACATGCAAGTAGGTGGCCTGATAACTAGCTCAAGACATGAAACCAACCTTCATTTTGTCATAAATAAATCAAGAAACTATTAGTTCCAAGTTGAAGATATTAGGAAATGGAGGTGATGGATGCTAAGTCGGTGGTACAACTGCAATTAGGGTAAACTATGGATAATTGAGTGAAAATTGTACAACATAAAACAACGATTTTTACTAAGCAAGGTATATTAATTGGATACAACTATAGCAATTAATTGCAAGGTATATTAATTGGAATATATGCAGTGAACTAATTGCAAATTGTATAAGATTTGTATACAACTATAGGTACTTTAGTGCAATTAAACAAAACAAGGGTATATTAATTGCAAAGTAGGGGAAACTATAGGTACTTAAGTGAAAATTAAACCAAACAGGGATTTGTTCCTTACCGTGGACGGTGGTGGTTCTGGGGAGAGTTGAAGGCGGCGGTGGGGAAAACGCGGCGGTGGGGTGGCGCTAGGACGGTGCGGTGGTGGTTCTGGGACGAGGCCGGCGGTGGGGCGGAGCTAGAAGTTGCTCCGAGGCAGACGATGATACG